CCCTGTCTCTTCCATGAGGTGACCACACTCACTGCCTCCTGCACCTCAAAAATAATAAGACCTCCCCAAAAATAAGCCCAAGCGCTTATTTCGGGGGGTCAAAAGAAAATAAGACCCTGTTTTATTTTCGGGGAAACACGGTATAACAGCTTGTAATCACTAGCAGTGGTTGTATGATAAAGGCAGGAAACCTCCAGAGGATTGTGCAGAGCAATTTGTAATGATGATGCGAGACCCACAAATAAAGAAAAGGTCAAGGCATTTATTTCTGTACCCTCCATATAATTTCTTGCTGTCTCCCCGGCACTCTGCTAAGTGCTGGATTGGAGAAACCATGTCTGTAATGACTCCTCTAACTTTGGATGTGTTGAATTTCAACTCCTCCTAGTTTTCTGTTCTATTGCAGCTTGAGAAGTTCTCCAGTGCTGTATTATCCTCAAACCCCTGAGATGTAGGTAACCATAATTTGACTGAGCAGCTTACCAACACGCCTTGCTTTGAAACACCCACAGGTCTTTTAGTTTTGCCTTTAAATCCGGAACGAAAGTCCATTGGGAAGGCCGTTTGCAGGCTTTCGGATCGAACCATTAATTCCAAAGTCTCTGGCTTTAAAATTCACTCCCAGGGCCTTGTGTTTCCCCCTTCTAGATTCCTGTTACCTGGTCTGAGCCACCTGACTGCCGAAGATCGCCCCCGTGAGATCCTAATTTCGGAGGGGGCGCCTGTTCTCTTGTGCCAATATTTCCTGCACCGTTGGGAGATCTTTGTTTCGAACACCGAATCCCAGTCTGCTTCCAAAGTTATTGAAGCCAGCCTTCAAACCTCCTGCGAGATTTTCCTGAATTTTGTTGTCACCGCTCCCGATCTAATCAGGTAATGGATGTAGGTGGAGGTGTAAGCAACTGCTTTCCTTGTTAGAAAGGTCCGCTTCGGTTTGTTGCTTAAGCGAAGCACCCTGCAGGGAGTTGATGCTAATTGCTCCTGCGTAGGCGTTTGCCAGCAATCCGTGTGAGAGGGAGAGAGAGAGAGAGCTAGTGGGCACACGACTCCCCATGTGCCTGGGCTGCTCTTAGCGATCTTTGCACATTGAACACCGAGATCTAAAAAGCATTTGTAGCACATTCGGCTGCTGCGATTATGAAACTCTGTGTTTGGGGTCTGATGTTTTGCAGGCTTTCTGACAGCAGGCAGTTTTGCAAGCCCCATTGACTCCCTTTGCGCTGAAAGCATCTGGACGTGTTGCTGTGAACACCTCCATCCCCAGGCATAGAATCCTCAGGCCAGGAAAGAACATTGAGATCGACCTATCCAACTCCTTGCCCAGAAAAAGATCTGGACTACAGAATTAGTTAGCCCTGACAGAGCTGCTTTGAATATTTCCAGTGAAAGAGGAAACATCCCGATGGATAATTTGTTATGGGGCCAAACGGCTCTTAACAATGGGAAGAAATTAGAAAGAGTGCCAAGAAGAGCAACAGAGGTTATTGAGGGGTTTGGAGACAAAAACTATGATGAACAGTTCCAGGAAGTGGGTATTTCTAGACTAACAAAGAGAAGGATTAGAGGTGGCATGAAAGCAGGACTTGGGGGGAGGGGTCAACCTATTCTCCAAAGTTCCTGAAAGAAGGACAAGAAGCAATGGGTGGAAACTAATCAAGGAGAGAAGCAACTTATCCATATATAAAATGGTTGCTGACACTGGGTATGGCTAGTCTGATGAAAAGAAGGACTAGGGGTGACATGATAGCAGTGTTTCAATATCTCAGGGGCTGCCACAAAGAAAAGGCAGCCAAGCTATTCTCCAAAGCACCTGAGGGCAGGACTAGAAGCAATGAATGGAAACTAAATAAGGAGAGAAGCAACCTAGAACTAAGGAAAAATTTCCTGACAGTGAGAACAATTAATCAGTGGAACGACTTGCCTCTAGAAGTTGTGAATGCTCCAACACTGGAAGTTTTTAAGAAGGTGTTGGATAGCACCTTGTCTGGAATGGTACAGGGTCTCCTGCTCAGGCAGGGGAGTTGGACTAGAAGACCTCCAAGGTCTCTTCCAATTCTGTTACTCTGTATTCTGCATGATGGCTTTTAAAATATTTTAAACATTTGAAGGCTCCTCATGCCTGCCCCGTCTGTTATAGACCTTGGTTTCCACCCCAAATGTGTATCCTGGTGGTTTTTCCCTGGAAGTGTTTGACTTTGTGAGATTCTGTTGAAATGTGGTCTATTAGGAGAAATGCCAATGTATGTGGTTGCTTCTAAAAACCCATCTTCCCAAT